CATTTGACCTCCAAACATGATGTGAATTCTGGCATCCAAACAGTTCAATGTTGGTCTCATCTGACCAGACTTTTACACTTCCCTTTCTTCATGTGTTCAATACTTTTTCCCTGTGCCATTCCACATTATTACAAATAACTTCATTTCTGGACATTTATGGTTTGATTTCTTTGTTTGTATGGATCACTTGGGTTGTTACCAACATCTGGGAAAATTTCATGTCATTAGCACCTCTAGTAATATATTTACTGAGAAAAATGTGACGTGTTCAATACTTATTTTACCCGCTGYACAGGAAGTGATGAAGTTATGAACCGACAGTGAGAAGTCCTGAAAAAGGATTTCATTCAGTTGCTGAATGCAGTTAAAAATCTCAACATTTGTGTTCATCAGTGGACCCATCCCTACAGCACGAGGAGGGGCTGAGAGGTTCAGTATGATGTTGGCCCTTAATGGTTATTTGGAAAAGTCCTGTTCAGACCACTCTGTGAGATATGTGGATAACTTTGATCTCTTTTGGGAGAGACAACATCTGTTCAAGTCTGATGGAATGGCTTTGAACCAACATGGATCAGAGCTGTTAGTTTCAAACATGAAATATTTCCTGAATCAAGTTCTGGCTGGAAACAAACAACAGGAGAATGATCAGCTGACGTCTGAGGCTGAAGGTCAACAGATACATTATAAGGTCATTTCATTATTATAGTAGAAAAAGAAGTTGTCAGTGGTTTGCAGAGTGTCTAYGCAGAGCAGAGCTCCTGTGTTTGTTTTGATTTAGCCCAAGGTCTGCTGCTGAGTGCTGAATGTACCTGATTGGAGTCAGAAGATTGAAAATAAAGTTTTAACAAGAAGTCCAGCTGGTTTCCTGTTTATTCGGACATACTGTACCCTTTTGAGCAATGCATATTTTTCCTACATTTGCTTAAAACATAAACATTAACTGTTAGAGTCATCTCTCTTTCTATACTTCTTGAATCACTGAAAAGAGTTTAGTGATCCTTTTCGAAACAACTAAAAAACATTTGGTCAACTCAATTTAACCTACTGCTAATTGACATAGCCAATACAAAAATGACTTTAACTCAGCCAGTTTTATAGATATTAAATGAAAATTTGTGTGGGAGTAGCAGAGAGTCACGTCTATTATTTTAATGGTATTTTAAGCATTAGCACACCTTGTGAAATCTCAAAAGATGGAAGATAAATTTATTCATCCGATTTGACCAAAACATCTACAGCTTCTTATCTCAGCATAAAATTATCTTAATTTAAAATTGTGGCATGGAAGGCGACAGGCAATCTGCATTCTTTCAAGGAATGCCTGGCCTTTTGGGGGGGARTTGTTTCTGCAGCATTAGAGCCACATAAGCCTCATAAGTGCACCACAGCTTGGAGAACACTGGATGCAGATGGCCTGGCTATGTGGAGCTGAGAGAGCATATGATTAGAAGTATCCCTAATTTGCCTGAGCACATTAGCTTTGTTAACACCTATTTGTACACTTGGGTCTGTTGTACAATCAAACTATATTTTCAGTGTGTTGTTTGAAMCTTTTGACTATGAAAATGCAAGATGAACAGATTGGCGTTGAACAAGGGGGTTTCGTTTTTGTCTTGTTTTATTATTGTAACTCACAGTTTCTTGGTTTCTCTCTTTTTTCTTTCTTTTTTATCTTCTCCACTTTTCCCCTTTGAATCCTTTCTCTTTGTACTCCCATCAAATATGCCTTGTTTTTTTTTTCACCTCTTGTTTGGCTGTTTTTGCATTTCATCATGCATTGTGCTTAATTATGGAACGGCTGCCTCTCCCATCATTTCAAATCCTGACAATGATTGCCTGAAACCTTTCACTTAAACCACCAACTTCCCCATCAATCCAAATGAACCCTGTTTCTCCCAAATCCCCAATCCTTCCTCCCATTCTCCACCTGAAATTCCCTCCATCTCTGCCATTGCTCATTGCTTCAGTCCTAATTCTTGAGAAGGTTGAGATGGAAGACCTCAGCAACAAGACTCTGAAGATAACAGACTTTGGCCTTGCTCGGGAGTGGCACCGCACTACCAAGATGAGCACAGCTGGGACATATGCCTGGATGGCTCCGGAAGTCATTCGCTCATCCACATTCTCCAAGGGTAGCGACATTTGGAGGTGGGCAGGGATGGGAAGAAACAAAGTGCAAAAAATATAGATCTGTCCACAGATTGCACCCACTCACCATCCCCAACTGTTCCCTGATTGACTACCTTTTTTAAGAAAGATGTTAAAAAAATGACTACCTGTTGTAATAAAACAGTAAAGACTGTCTCTAAATCAGGGTATAAACATAGACATTCAAAATGCAGTCTTATTGATTTTATTATGTCCAGAAGATGTCTTTATGACAGTAAATTACACCAAATATTTATCTGTGATGAAGTGGTGACAGCAAACAAAACATAAGTCATACTAGGATGAGAYTCAATGCATTTTTAGTAATAAAGTGGGTCTAAATCCTGTAGAGATTTATTCACTGTTTCCTGCTCTTTGGGAAGATAGAAAAATGTTGAAACCCGAAGCACTCAGAGACTGCACACCTCTGACTACGAGACCCTAGGTTATGCAAATAAGACGGTGCAGCTGCTGAGCTGTGATCGGTGGAACAAAGTTCTACTGGATGCTGATTGGCTGTCACAGAATGACATTGTTGATATAAAGAAACCTCTTGTGCCTCTTCTGTTCCGTTTTTCTTTTAGCTTCTATTCGTGCCAGATCACGATGAGCTGCAGCTCTGGCAGATGCTACCAGATGTCCGCCAAATTTTAATCGTTTATTCTTTGTGAGAACTCGGACATGCCCTGAATATTTCATTGAAATCTGTTCATAACCTTTTGAGTAATCCTGTTTCTTATTGGACAGACAGTCAAACAAACCAATGCTATCGAAAACTTCCTCCTTGGCTGAGGTAACTATGGGTCTGTTTACTATTTATATCTTTAAGCACTGTTGTCACAGGCCACCAGTGACATGCACATATATTTTGAGGGGGTAGGTCCTCAAGTCAGAACAAAAAGCCAACTTGTGTGGTGCATGGATTCACTGGCTGCCTTTGTAGTGTGAGATGTATTACAGACACATCTTATTCATTGTGCATCTTTATTTATTTCAGATCAATTGCAAAATGCTCTCTGAAACAGATGGTTTATTTTCAACGCTCTACAGGTTGGTTGATCTATAATTTGGGTGACCAGATGTCCCTGATATCCAGGGAAAATCCCCATTTTGGATGACCTGTTCCTGTATATGTTCTCAATTTTAGCTTTTATGAATGAAAAAGGAAAAAATAGTTGCATATAAACTGTTGTTACTGTAGCTGATAAAAAGCATGAGTAAGCAGCATGCTGCACACAACTTCTATTACAGTAGCTGGTCGTGCTGTTGTTAACGTTACAAAGCAGAAGAAGAGCAGAGTGCACTGCCTTTAAAAAAGACTGTGTTGCTGCAAAGGATTCTGGGTAACTTGGTGAAAGTTATGTGTGCATGTGTAYGACTGTTAAAGACAGTCATACACATGTTAGTTGTCCTGTTGGGGTTGGTTAGTTGTTCCTGTTTAAGACATGGTTATTTGCTGTATATTAACACCATGAGTGAGAGGTACTTCCTGGTAAGGTGGAAGAATTTTCTGTTTATGGTCTGTGTATGAAGATAAAGTGTTATGTCAATGAAACTTAACTCAGTCACGCTTGACTAGCAAAGTCTCTGAAATGAGAAAATTAATGAAACCGTAACTGTCCCAGTTTTTGCATTTTATCTTGTTAAATRATTCTTCCTGGATTTAATTCCGGAAATCTGGTCACCTTATGTCACAATCAAATTGGCAACAACAGAACAAAAACTAGTAATGACACATGGTGAATGTTTTAGCATTTATAAAATTATCTATAAACAACCATTTAAAATAAACACATTWTATATATATATAATTGCTCATGGCTTTCTTGTTTGATAGAGGATCTTCCTTCCATCTCTTCCTAAGAACCAACAATAATGAAACGCAATGTTTATTAGAGTAAACCTGCTTGGCTACAAGAGTCAATGTAATGCATTGCAACATTAAGACTCACCAGACTGCAACTGACTGTCATGGTCAAAATTTAACACCCATAAAAGCAATAAAAGGACTTTATTTTAAAAGTATTTGCATTTCATGTATTATATTATTGCATTTGGCCCACAACCCTCAGATAGATTTTTGTTTTGCCCCTTTTCAGGGAAAATGCACCCCTGCTCTAACYGAATGTTTGTTATATTCTCAGGCAGCAGTGGCTCATGGGATATTTTATGATAAAATATGAGTATCTGTGGTCCTTTAAAGTTTGAAAATCTATGTTTAGGTTACTTGTATTTTATGTTTAATCCTAATACAATTCATATATATATTCTTTACTTTGGATGGGTTCATAAGAAGGCTAACTAGCCTAAATTATTGAACTCACTGCAGGATTAGTCAATTCAATWGTTCTCTTACCATKAATRCATGTCTAATACATGGTGTGAAAGTAYATGTRCATGAGTMTTTACATACATATACCTGGTACACACARTRTATAGAATAGTTAATGCCTGAGTTATTAAGCATGAATAAATAATGAGTATCTTGGTTTTGGAAGTAATTAGCCTATGGGTAAAGCATAAATAAATGTGTTAATTTTATATCCTAAGTATGATTCATCTTTAATTAATGTTGTTTTCAATGTTAAATAACTATTTATTAATGATTAAGTAAGGCTAAACGAGATGTAGTTATAAATTGTTACCATATATAACAGGAAGTCATTGCATATTTATTTACACTTATAGTCTGTTTCCTTTTTAATCCTCATCAATAAAGTTATGGTGTGCTGTTGTGGGAGCTGCTGACTGGAGAAGTTCCTTTTCGAAGTATCGATGGTCTTGCAGTTGCTTATGGAGTGGCAATGAACAAACTGGCTTTGCCCATTCCCTCGACTTGTCCTGAGCCTTTTGCACGTCTTATGGAAAGTAAGTCAATTCTTAAATATGCGAAATTTTAAAATGATAAAGCTAATTCCTTGTATATGCAAGTGGAGTATGCATTAAAAAAATCTTAAGCTTTTTTTGACCATTTTAAAAATTGTTTTGTTGGTTTTTCAGAATTCATGGGTGCTCTAAGAACATAACCATTGCAAATTTCTGTGGTCTTCTGTATTTTTTTTTTTTACTGTTTTGAACTTATCAAATCCTTGAAAACATGTTTTTTTAATAATCTTGTACTTCAGCATAATATGTTGTTAATTTTAGCTTTTAGCTGTTTTTTATTTTAGCTTCTATAATTATGTTTCAACTTTAAAATGTTATTCAGCTGTCAGTATTCACACTGCTGTTTTACAGAAGCTGCCATGTTATTAGAATAAGTAGAGTAAATGTCGGATTCTTGTGTTTATCCAATGCAGCATCATTAGCCTCTAAAACTGATCTGGCATCGACCACCCAAAAACAATTCTTTTTTTTAGCACTGAAACCATTGAGCCTTCGAAACATTCAAGCTAAAGGCAAATTTGTCCCAAAACGTTTCTTTTTTTTTTTTTTTTTTTTTGTCACCACAGGCTGTTGGAGCTCAGATCCTCACTCTCGGCCACATTTCTCAACTATTCTGGACCAGCTTACAGCCATTGAAGAGTCAGGCTTTTTTGAAATGCCAGCAGAATCATTCCATTCTCTACAGGACGACTGGAGACTGGAGATCCAGGAAATGTTTGATCAGCTTAGAACTAAAGAAAAGGTAATCATGAGAGGAAAAATTTCCAGAGGCAAAATGTGCATTTTAACCAGTTTTATCCTGGCTTTTGAGTTAGTTGAGAAGTGACTACACTACAACAACTATATAGGTTCTGATGTTCTTTTGTTTTTTTTGTTTTTTTTTAACCTAACCTTCTCTAATTGAACCAATCAGGAGCTGCAATCATGGGAAGAAGAGTTGAGCCGAGCAGCCCTGCAGCAGAAGTGCCAGGAGGAGGCTTTAAAAAGACGTGAGCAGGAGTTAGCTGAAAGGGAGATCCACATCTTGGAACGTGAACTCAACATTATCATTCACCAGCTTTACCAGGAGAAGCCTCATGTGGAGAGCAGGCAGGGCAAATTCCGCCGCAATCGCCTTAAACTGAAGGATGGAAACAGGATCAGTCTGCCCTCAGGTACTGAAAACAAGCTGCAGTCGTGTCCAAAGTCGGTCCTCAAGGGCCGGTGTCCTGCATGTTTTACGAGCTGCCCTGGTTCAACACTGCTGAACCTAAGTAGTACTTAATTCCTCCTCCTCCTCAGCACAAGTAGGGGTCTCTGCGGACGAGTGCGGACGAGTGGGCGTGTCGCAAGGAAAGGCGATTCTAAAGCGACACACCTGATTTGACGGACTTTGTTAAAGGGACACACCTGACTGGACAAGCAAAAGAGGGGTGATACCGTACGCACCACCTCATTGGACAAGAACAAAAGGGGCGTTACTGTATGGTACCACTTTTTCTGGAGAACGCTACTTGGGTCACATTTCTCCTGGTTAACCTTAGTGTTGGGGTCAGGGTCAGGCTGTAAAGACATCAAGCAGGATCTAAGGATACCGTCATGCAGGCCTCGTAGCCCACAGTTTTTATGCTTTTGACACGCCCACTTTGATTCCGCAGATAACCCCGTCTCCCTCAGAATGCCATCAAGGTCTGCAGAGGCCTACTAATTAAGCAATCAGGTTCAGCTGTGTTGAACCAGGGCAGCAACTACAACATGCAGGACAACGGCCCTTTAGGACTGACTTTGGACACTGCTCTACAGTGTAGCCAGAAGATGATTTAAATATTTCTATATTACCAGGATGCACAAAAATAATATACACGCACAACGCCATCCGAACTTGTTGGCCGCTTACGTCACAGCACCACGCCGGAGGCTGTCTAACTTCAAAGTCTCCTCAGATGCGTGTTTCTTTTTCCCCGATTTGAGGGAAGGGTCTGATGGATCCTTCTCGACCCATCAAATCCCATAATGCACCGCAGTCCGACAGGAGATTTTTTTTCCTGCTTGTAATGGCTGACAAAGCAAGAGAAACGAATATGTTTTAAATCAAAATCTGGTACTATAAAAATTTGTTTCAAGCGGTTGTGTTGTTAGTGTTTTTGTCATTTGTATAGACATGTTTTTAATATTATTCTTGTCAGAAATCAAGCAAAAGTAAAAGTGCACCTACGGCGAGTCCTTTAGTTCTTCAAGTATTGCCTTTAAGCTAATTTTGTTGTTTTGTGATATTAATAATACTAATAAATTGATATTTTGCTAATTTCGATCTATTTTTGCTTATGTTTAGCACCTTCATGATTGCTAGGTGACAGGATATGCACCRGAGTTAGGGTAGGAATAAAGCAGARGRCTAGACCATCCAATTTCCAGCCACTTGTTTCCAGTCTTCACGGTCAACCCAGCCTACCCGGTCTAGGTGGGCTGGGTTTTTGTACTGRATTTGGACACAGCCTCTGTGGGGTTTTTGTTCTGTCAGACCCCTTACTTCATATAATGTTTAAATGTACAGTGGRTCTTTGTAGTTTCAACCATTAAAATCAAGGAAAAAATGAAATATTTAGACTTACAATGGGAAAGATAGTTATAAGTGGTCTCTTGTACAGTTTTCTGCCATGTAAGGAWAAAATTTCTGTAACAAAATGATTTGTAAGACAAGGAACAAACATCCATTAGTTTGCCTTAATAGTTTAACTAGTTTACATTTTTTTATTAATCTGACATCCAGCCATACAGTGTGGTCTTTCTCTGAGGTCCACTAAAAATAAAATACTTAACACATCTACAACAGTTTGGGGCAAAACATGTTTTGTTACAAGAAATACTTTGATACAAGTTATTGAAATCAAGTGTTTTGATAATAAATAATAAATGTCAACAGTTCTTCATTATAAAAATGATTTTTATATGTGGCATTTATAACAACTTAATATTGAGTTGCATGAGGTTATTTTTTTGTTCTTAATTTTAATTTTAAAGTAGGTTTTGCAGCTCTGGACAGAAAAGGAGCAGAGATGTTTCTCTGGATGATAAAAGCTGTAGAACCATATTCTAGAAAAAAAAACAGTTCAGTTTGTTTTTGCACGGCTCTCTTATTCAGGCAACATCTGTAATGATCTGGAAACTCCTGTGTTTCTAACGGATCTCTTAGAYTTTCAGCACAAAATCACAGTGCAGGCATCTCCCTCGCATGATCATCGAAGTTTACTCAGCAGCGGTTCCAGCCCTCCATCTAGTCCGCCAATGCTGCCCAGACTGAGAGCCATCCAACGTAAGTCCAAGACCTTTCACAGATTTCAAACAATGCATTCGATTCAGAATTACTGTGTCCTACAGAGCTGTTTCCAATTAACCTAATTAAATGCAAAATTATCCTCCATCCGCTTCTAATGCATATAATTTACTGTTACAACCTATTGTTGGCCCTATCCCAACCTTTTTGAGACATGTTGCTGCCATCAAAGTCAAAAGGAACTTTATTAAAAATTGTACAATTTCTTAAACGTTTAATATGTTCTGTATGTTGAATTGTGGATAAAAAAGGTTTAAGATTTGCTAATCGTTTCGTTCTATTTTTGTTTTGGGTTATGACCCATTTAGTTTAATTTTTTTCTTCATTTTTAAGGTATGCATTAATAATGTCTTGTTTTACAGTCACTCCAGGGGAGGGTTGCATGGAGATTGAGAGGAAGGGGTCCAGGAAGAAGGGCCGCTCCCGTGGATGTGCTGTTTACAGGGAGCACAGCGCCGATGCCAGGTAAAAATATACATAGAAAATTAAGAATCCATATTAGTCAATTTAATGAGTTCATTTGTGTTAGTAAAGCAGATATTTTCAGAGAATGTTTTAGTTTTGTAGCTCAACGTATTATGATGATTGGTGGTTTTGCTCCTGGTTGGCCTGCTGCTGATCACCCTGATAAGCTCCGGTTCTTCTTAAAGGGATCCATGATTAGTTCTAACATTTGACTTTATTTGATAAACATTTATTTTAATTGTAAAATAAAGATTGTAAAAATACCATTAGGCTGTTTAATTTTGTACATTTTTAAAAATATATTTTAACACGGATGGAGCCATTTTATTTACATGCAAAGCATTCTGGGTAAATGATGATAGGTCATCGTGTGAGCGAGCTATATCCACCCTGAAGGTTAATCTAGGACAAAAGCTGACGTTCGACTCTAAATGAAACCAGAGAGCGTTGACAGAGAGGAGAAAGTAGAAACGATTCAGTCTACAACTGAAAATATGGATGGAGGACAACAGAGCTGCTTCATGGAAGAAGAACCTCAGCTTAGCCAGTTAGCCTTTGCGCTAGTGCCGACTCTATATTGCCTTATATGTATTAGCTCGGCGCTAGCACGACAAACTAACAAGCTAAACTGAGGTCCTTCATCTATATTTTCAGTTGCAGACTGTCATTTTTGTGTTCCCCTCTCTGTCATGTGGATGGAGGACCTCAGTGAGGAGGAAAATGTGTAGCGCTGAGCTAATACATATATGGTGATAGCGTTGAGGGTAATGCTAAAGCTAACAGGCTAAGCTGAGGTTCTTCTTCCATGAAGCAGCTCTGTTGTCCTCCATCCATATTTTCAGTTCCAGGCTGAGTCATTTCTACCTTCTCCTCTCTGTCAACGCTCTCTGGTTTCATTTAAAAGAGCCGATCATCAGATATGGTCCAAGACTAACCTTCAGGGTGGATATAGCTCACTAGCAGCCTCGCATCAACCAGGAAGCAGAGTTTTAGTTAAAACCGTGAAAAACTCATGAATGGAGATAAACAGACATAACAGATAAACAGGGAYGGAGGAATCTGAAACTGTGGAGCTTTTTGACCAGGACAGATGTGGATAAAAATCCGTCGGGTGAGGGACTTTTTTTCTGCGTTGCTGTTGAGGGGAGAAATTCCATGCAGTGACGTATGTTTCAGCGGGAGGGAGGGGTTCCCCCGAGCTCGTCGGCGCAGTGTGCAGGAGCTATGTCTGTGCGAAAACGACTGCTGAACAACCACGTGACCGCGCGTCGACCCGTCGGCGTCGGAGCGAGTATGTTTCCACCATAATACTCATCCTCTGCTTCTACCCTTTCAGGCCTGGTTCCTGTGGACCCCACTGTAAATAAACTCACTTACCCTTTTGTATTCTGTCTGAGTCTGGTTCCTCTGTTCCGCTCGCATTGCGACTATTCTCAGTTCCTGTCACTTATGGCCATTAATCTCTCCTCACAGTAAGAAGCCGCCCCATGAGGGCAGCAGACAGAGGTCCTGCAGCGCACCAAACCTTCGCAGGTCCCCAAAACACAGTCCAGCAGTGCCAGGGGTGCCAAGCCTTTTGGAGACAGGTATGGACAGCTCAGCAGATATGTTCTTGTGTAGCATCTGCCAGTGATTATGCAAAAAGCAGCTGAACCTAAAAGTTGGTGAAACTGATAGAGGTGCATCACTCCCATATTGCTCCAGTTATTATCAGAAGTTCATGTTTGCTGCTGTGTGCCTGTGAATCATGTCCTCACAGCAACCTACATTTGGATACATGAGATTTAAAGAAGAAATTTACATTGAAACCAAGCCACTTGGTGTTTTTAGAAAAACTTTGAAGACATACATGGATTTTTTAAATTAGAAAGTATTTCCAAAGTAATTGTAATCTGCCGCTATAGAGCAAATTCAAATGACTGTCAGCTAAGTGTTTTATGAACTACTGGACTAATTTCATTGAACTATTAAAAGGTAATCCCTGAGTGTACATGTACAATGGAATAACTTTTGGACTCAGCAAGATTCAAAATGGCTGCTACAGCCAACTGACCAAAAAACACAAAACTGATTATTGCATTGTTAGCCAAACAGAGCATTTAGGCTCTATCATTCTCTGAATTTATCATATTGAAATGTTACAGTCCTTTATTCATAATTAATAAATCCATTACCAGAATCTCTTCTTTAATTGTTGAATAAAATCTGTCCAGCCAAGAAAAAAATGTCTAGTCGTCTGCTACACACTCTAAAATGAAATGTTGGATTTACTTAACCATGTTATGTTACCTGGTTCCACTTAACTGAGTTGAGTAAATTCAAAGCAACATACTCATGTTCTTTGGCTAAAAAACTGGTATATTGCTTTGAATTTACTCAAATCAGTAAAGTGGAACCAGGTCACATAACATGGTTAAGTAAATCCAACATTTCATTTTTTACAGTGCAGGTTTGAAATGTTTAATCTTGCTTGCATACAGTTTGACAAAGCCTAAACCAGAAAATCAAAGTTGCAAAGAAATACAGCCTTTTATGTAGCATTGTGTAAGAGTCACTTACATCTCTTATAACGGAAGTTATAAGGAAATTATTTATCAAGCGTTTTTAACTAATTAGGGAAAATACAGTACATCCTTTGTGCAAAAGTGAACAACAGCACAATAAGTGACATAACTCAGTGAATTTGATTTGATCTAGCAACAAACGAGATCATTTACATAAATTAAACAACTTAATTGTGAGCAATCAGTTTTCCTTCAAAGGTTTAAGTCTTAACAACAATCAAGCATGCGTCCGAGCTTAATTAATTATTRAAAACGACAACTTTAGAAACAACAAAAACATCAGGCTTTAGATGTTAAATAAACCAGAACATTTGCAGGTACTGTTTTGGGACACGCTGTGTTTAGGCAGTGTAACTATGGAGAGAAAATAAACAAAGTTTGTGTGTGCGTAATAAAGTTTTTGTGTGTAAAACCTGATTTGTAACCCGTAAAAAACATTTTGTGCGTAACTTTTGGTATTTGTGAGTGTGTATTTAAATGTACACACAAATATTAATAAGTTATGAATACAGAATAAAAGTACACACGCACAAATATAAACTACACAAACATGTAATTTATTGTTTTTTATTGTTATTTAGCTCTTACACTTTGMTAATTATTACTAAATCATAATCAAACAAAATCACTACAGTAAACTTAATTGTGAGCAATCAATTTCCTGTAAAATTTAGAACTAACAAYAACAAGCACACTTCGAGCTTCGTTAATTGTCAATCAAGCACTTACATAGAGCACAAACCTCAAGCTTTAGATGTTGAATACCAGACATTTGAGGCAAATAACTTAAGGTTGGCAATAAAGGTTTAAGAAAAGGAGGAAAAATAAGATATTAGTTAGTTCCTAATTTATAACCTTATCTTTAACAATGTGGGAAACCAGAGGCAAGGCATATATACTGTATCTCTGTTCAGCGTCAGCCAGACAGTGATGCTCGTAACAGCCAGCTTTTACCTTTAAAGATGAGATCAGTCACCTGTCCAGGTAGTCGGGGAGGTTTCTCAGGTAGTAAGAAAATTTGTCAGGATCCTCCACTCAGCTGGACACTCCAGGCATGCCAACTTCAGCATCTGCATACATCCGCGTCAAGCATAGGAAGAAAGGCGAAGCCAAACTGGATCACGGCTCCAAAATTAAAACTTGCTTCTCACAGGAAGTCAAGACAAAGTTGCTTTGAGCTCTTGGTTGGGTCACCCCGAGGAGTTGGTGTGGCCCGTGGCTGTCTAGGTTCCCCATTGGCGATAAAGGGTAGAACCATACAGCTTAAGCTTGCTGGTTCTCCCGGAGGAGAACAGCTATGGTTGTGGTGGAAGTGGGTCCGTCTTCTTCTGACTACCGGGTGGAAACTGTGTTAGTCATTTAAAGAGGGTTTTCTTAGTTCCGCCTTCAGACGTTAGATTAGAAAAGGATGATATCAGGGAAAATGTTAGTTCAGAGACTTGCCGTCGCCTCCTGAAGCTAAACAAAGATTATTGCTTCTGTGTGGTTCAGAAACAAAACAAATCATGACCTGTTTAGTTATTATCTGATGAGAGATCTTTAAAAACATAACTGAAAGACTGAATTACTTCAAACTCAAACATTTGCAATATGATTCAGACAAATAAAATATTGATGTTTCATCAACTTAAACCATAAAGATTAGTTTAGTTAAATAAAATTTTTACACAGAAAATCCATACATAGCTGAAATCATACTGAGGGAGAAAAGAGATCTGTCCTCTTTTCTCCTGTAACTTTGATAAACCTTCTTTGATTATCAAAATGCGTAATAATTTTCATTTAAGAAAACACTGTATCAAATAAAAAGAAGATTATTCTGTTTATTATCTGATTAAGAAAAAGAGAATGTCTCTTTGACAAGTTAAGGCAACCTGTGGTGGCCTAAATTCAGTTCTAAGTGGAACAGAGATCTGTCTCTTTAAAGGCCCATCAGCGTCCCAGGCAGTTTCCTTGATTATTTCACTCGAGGTGACCCCTACAAATGTTTAAATCTAWATGTAAAAGGTTGTAAGAAAGTCAAAAAGAAAAAAATAAGTAGGTCCTCTGGATGGGTTCTTCTTTAGTGAAACATTTCGTCTCTCCTCCAAGAGACTTCTTCAGTCTGATGAGTTTCAAGTGAACTCAGCCTTATAAGCACTGCCTCCACATGGTGGACAAACAGGTTAGTCACATGCAAAAGAGGGTATTACAGTACTGTATGTACTGTATGTTTGTGTTCATGCCAGTGTTGTGGCTGACATGCTTCAGAACAATACGTGGTAGATGAGCAGCCCGAACATCTCTGGAGTGGAGTGTTGACTGACTCTTCCAAGTGGCAGTGATGACAGCGGCGAGGCTCCTGATGTGGTGGCTGGGTCACTGCTGGCCCCATGGCAGTGGCCCGTCGGCGTTTCCCTGCTGCTGCTGCTGACATGGAGCTCGACATCCTCTGAAGATGTGACCGTACTGGCCACATTTGAAGCAGTGGGTGCAGTTATCTCCCTCTCCGCTGTTCTGGCAGGTCTCGTAGCCTCTCTTCCTCTGGTTGCTTGGAGCATCCGATGTCCTCTTGGCGATCTGCGGCTTGCCGGTGTTTAGGGAAGCTAGTACCATCCGCTTGACCTCAGCAACCTCATTTCGCAATTCTTTCACCAAAGTGTGCATCTCAGGTGGGGCACGAGCTGCCTTGTCCTCTTTTGTTTGTGAGGTGCTGCGTGGTTCATCTTTGGTTGTCAGCTCATTAAATCTTGGTGGGTTTGAGTTGGTTCTTTTTAACTTGTTCAGCCGTTCTGTCTCGAGGTTGGAGGCCTCATTCATTTTCTCAATCAGCATTTCATCAGTCACATCCGGGTTGTCGAGAAGTGTCTTGATCTGGAACTTAATGTTATCATTTTTGCAGTCCTGTAGCCACTGATCTCAAAAACTTYCTTTTCACCAGGTCCACACTATAGTGCTCTGCTTCTTTATCCTTGGATACATACAGGAGCCTGTCTTTGAGCTCAATGGCCCTGAATAAGAAATCTTGAGCCAACTCTTTTGGGTCCTGAGAGATGTTGATCAGCTTTTGGTACAAATCTGAAGTGTCATCTTCTCTGTAATGTCCTTTCATTATTGTCTTTGTGAGATTGTCAAATCAGTCTTAATCTCAAGCATATCACACAGTTTGAGACCAGGATTGWTAGCTCTTATCACTGCTTCAATAACCTCTGACTTACTGTGGCCTTTGCRGAGGCCGTTTTCTATCTGGTGGAGTAAGCTGGTGTGGGACAGCCGATCACGCTGCCCGCCGTCTCCTATTTGACCACAGATGCGGAACTCCCTGCGTAGAGTCACCTCTGGTATTTTGGCTGACTTCAGGCTCTGCCCAAAGCTGGGAGCAACGTCTGTCATTTTGAGTTTCTCCTCTATTGCTTTGATCTCCCCCTGCAGCTTGTCATACTTGTCACCTGACACAGATAGGTGGGACATCTCGCAGGTCTCGACTGTGTCTCCTGTAGCTTCAGATTTGTCCAGAAACTTTAAAAGTTCTTTAACAACCTGTACAGCTTCATTTTCTGTATCACTGTTTTCAACTTCATCCAGTTTGTGTTCTATTACTTTCATCAGCTGACGCCTGGTGCYGTCTTTTAAGAGCTCATCTTCGTCTGTAGTAAAGCATTTCAAATTATAGCTGACCTCTATCAGCCGAACACGACTTAACTGGCAAAGTGTGGCAGTGATTTTATCTCGAAGAGCTTCAAATTCCATTTTTGGTACTCACAAAATCGTCCCTTTTCTCTTAATCTCAGGTCCGGTGATAGGAAAAAAGTTTTTTTCTTCAGCAGTTCTAATGTCGCTAACGTTTGCTGCTAACGTCTCCAACCACGATCTGGAGATCCTTTAAAAGAACTTTCTCCTGGCTGGCTCGCCCTTTTATGTTGCAGCTTGAAGACATCATTCGACGAATGGCGTAGTTTTTATCCAAAACATTTATTTTCTTTTAGCTCAACACAGAATATAAACTGGCTCCACACACTYACGGTGCTTCTGCTGCGGTCAGAGTCCGAATGAAATAGTAACGTTCAAGAGACGCACGTTTCAGAACTTTTCCACATGGTGCGTTCAGTGCCATCCAGTAAATACCAGTACTCACAGAAATGAACAATCTAGCTAAAACATACACCCAAAAAAAGTGTCTTTGTACAGTCAAATACACAAAAACAGTAACACAACTAATAATCTCATTTGAACAATGTCTGTATTTCTCACATCATTCTTATGCTACGTTCACACCGAACGCGTTTTGAGCAGCAAAAAAGCATCTAACGCCTCCAGTTGGACGCACTATGTTCAGAATGTCTGAAGATGGAGGAGTTTCTTGGATTTTTCCGGTCCGTCTTCGGTGGATGAAATAAAATAGAAATAAAGAAAATGGCTTTGCTTTATTTACTAAAGAGCAAGCGAATGTTGTGCACACCAGATAATTAATTCACCAGATGATTTAGAGGCGGTTTGTTCAGTTAGTTTCACCACTCCAACAGCTGCGTGCTGATGGACTATTTTTTGTCCCGAGTCCAGTTTAACACTACGGTCAGTTTAATGAGCTGCTGACCCACATCGGTGCTGATATCTCCTGCCAGAACATCAACTACAGACGGTCGATTTCAGCTAAAGAGCTCCGTCTGTTTTGGTTTAGTGGGCAACATTCAGGAAACTGTCACGTGGAAAAATGAGTCTCTCTGGTTGTCAAGACGAGTCGAGCGGCGTAAGTTCAGATTTTTGAACTCGGGCATCGACTGCTTTTGCCGCACCGCAGTGGAAAATGCTCTGCCGCACCTTCCGCATTCTTTGCTCACCACGCCAAATGGACCTGACCCGCCACAAGACCCCTAGAGGCGCGTCCGCCATATACTTTGCATGTAAACTGGCTGCTCCTGCAGCTCAAAACGTGTTCGGTGTGAATCCACCATCAGTGTATGCTTTTGTTGCAGGATGATGTCACAACAAAAGCCACGCACCAACGGCAAAGGCTGTGTTCCATTCTGAAAATCTGATTTGACACCTACACCTGCACACATGCATGCTACAGGCAGCCGTAGTCAATATTTTTGTAATAACAACAATAAAATAAATGTCAGAGAATAGTGTTTTTTGTGCTACTCACCCTTTTTCAGCTTGTAGGAGCAAAACCAACAGCACCTTGGATCAGTGTTTCACCAGTTTGGATATAATTGTGATCATGCTGACCCTGCTAGTGCCATGCATGCAGCTGAGCCTGGGCTGCCAGAAAAGTACCCCCCCCCCCCCCCCATTTATTTATTTTTCTGTGCATATGTTCTTCAAACACACCTCATTGTATAATACCGTCGCTCAGCATACATAACAGTTTAGGTCATAATACAGTCATTTTAAAGCAACAGTACTATAGTTTCCATCTTTAATCTGGCAGCCATGCATGGCGGTTTTGGTTACTGGGGATGGATAAAGAACCCATATGATTGGGGGCCTTGTAAATGTGCCCTTTGCTCTCCCCAAAAAGACACTGATTTTTATTCAAACCATCGTGTTGCTCAGATGAAGGACATGAGTTTAGAAACACTCGGTGTTCTGAGCTTCCCAGGATTCATAAAGGGGTCCCCAAGAATTATTTTCCTTTGACTACTCAGAGCCAGGCAGTGCCCTAAGTAGTGCGAAGAAGTCAATGATTCAATGTCACAGGCATCACACAGACCATTGTCATGGAGTCCTATCACCATTTTGTGGCGATTGAGCAGGTTGTGCCCAGTTAGGACTCCAACCAGTGTACTTAAAGTTTTCCTTGTCAGGGCAATGAGAGCTTTCCCAAACCTAACATTTAGGCCTAACATGGAAACTAGCAAACATGATRTTTTTTGGTCTGTTTTTGTTTATTTTCCCAATAACCGTTGAGAAAACATTAACATTTCCAGAAATTGGTTTCATGTAAACAGAGTCTAAAACCAGGCCTTTACTTGGTATGAATGTTATTCGATGTAGAAGCTTTAGAGAATCAACCAAATTCAAATAAAATCATGGCACTGTTTTTACTCTTTTTTATTTATTTTAGAAAATGAAGACTGCTGCTTCACCTCTGAGCCAGGGCCAAGTCCTGCTCCATCGTACCTTTGTCTCCCCTTCCAGAAGGAGGTCCCTTCAACTTTTGCCCCTGATGATGATGGAGATGAGTACTGTGTCAGCAACCAGGGGCCTGGAATACCATGCAGAAAGAGCCCAGGTGGGGGCCGTCGCTCAGAGCTGGTTCTGCTGGGTTGTGGGGCTCTGCTGGCTGCAGTCGGGTTGGGCTGCAACCTGCTAACGCTGACCCAGCCTGAAGACACTATCAAACCCCGATGGGAGGGCTTCTTTCACAGAGCAGGTGGCCCCCCAACTCGCCGATTGTTCCGACGGGAAAGCCCGCTGAAGTCTTCAGGTCCATCACTACCCACCGGAGGGTTACCCCCATCGTATACGCTTCTGTCTTTATCCTCCATGTCTGACTGTAACTCCACCCATGCACTGCTGCACTCAGACAGCGAGGAGCTGCTGGTGTACCGCCCTGACTCACCCCCATCCCAGCCCCCTGTTCTACAGGCAGTTCAAGGTCCAATCAACTCACTGGTCAACACTCATGTGGAAAGCTTCAAGTGTAATCCCCGTCAGTCTCTCACACCCACCCATTTTCCCTGTGCCTCGACATCCTGTCGTAGCCTCCGTCGAACACCATCAGATGGAGCCATCAGAAGGAACTGTCCCTCTAACAATCTGGATCTGCTGCCAGAACAAAAAGCTTTACACAGCACAGGTACAGTACTGACTGCAAGTTTAATACAGAACATTGATAACTATTTTATACTTTTTCTTATTAAATTTTTTGTGGGTTGGGGTTGTGGCCATGTAGAACCTGTTAACATGATCCATCCTCACCTGCAATGTCGGACACCAGAACTCTTCTAGCCAAACTCTTTTGACCCAAGCCTCTTTGCTCTGATGAACTTTTGTTTTCGGACTTTATKTTTGGCTTTTTATGTTTGTTTGTTTGTTTAGAGCGTTTACTTTTATACAGTATGATGCAAATTATATAACTTTACTTATTTACTATGTACTCAGTGTTTCCCCTTACATTATACAGGCAGGGCCACCCCCCCACCCCCCGCCAGCGAGATGGCCCGCCCCTCTAAGAATTTCACGGCATGTAGTCATTTTTATTTAAATAAGGCCAGATCAAGTCAAGAACTATTTTTTGYGTCCCTCCATATCCACCTCTTGCCAAACTTGGGGAAAAAGACGGCGCAGAGCGAGGCTGAGCGCTGTGTGTGGTCCTCACAAAGATAGGAAGACGTTTGTGTGATTAGACGCGCAGCTCTGCTTTTAATCGCGTTGCACCGGTGCAACAGCTTTGCAAGCTACTTTTTCTTTCTTTAAAAGAAAATGCGACAGGTGAAGCCACAGCATGGTTACTACCTTATCAATAATTACTGCCTTTTTTTCTTTCTCTTTGAGTGAGGGGTCAGCTTCACTCAGCTGCAGGTGAACACCTCCCATGTTTCCTGGACTATTTTCCACCGAGGATTACATCGTATTTTATATTTATTTTATTTCTAAAAGCACTTCGCAGCATTTCCCCCCGTGTGTTCACGTCACGAGCGCAACAAAACCGCGACAGATCAGCTGACTGTTTTTAAAGTGAGGTGCAGCGAACATGTCCTGCAGCGCAGCTCCGACCAACCCGGCCCGGGACTTAAAGTTCATACATGTCAACCCCTTCAGACATTTAACGTGTATAAAGAGCATCAAAAATTTATAATTTGCGCAAAAAAAATCAGTATTAATCACGCGGATGGGGTGGAGGTGCGCTGACCGCAGCTGGCGGGGTGGTGGGGAGGAGGAGGGTCTCTTAAAGACGTGTCTACATTTGACTTTTATTTTTTCTAAAATCAGAGTTCTCTGAGTCAGCTTCAGATGTTTGTAGTTAATCATAATACTTTCTAAATTTAACCAGGTGTTTCAATGCCTTTAAATTACACA